TTTCCACTATTGTGACGTACTGACAGTCGAGTTAGTTTAACGGTCAGTGAACAGTCAATATGTGGTTATCAGAGCTCAAGGCTAGTGACATCGATCTCAGACACAGAAAATCATAGCAAATATTCTGTTTTACTAAAAGAGGCTATTGGAGAAATTTTAAAGTGCATTTTCACTTTTGTTAGAGATTGTCCCTTGAATTGATAAGCAATGTAGTTATCAATTTCATAGTATTATTTTTCAAAATTTGAAAAAATGGTACTAAAAGAACTTCAGAAAATTACAACGTGCCTGAGATAAAAATGAAATCGTTGAGCAAGCATTTTTAATCTACTGGCATCACGCCATGGTGATCAGTCTTTGAAATGTACAATACATCAAAGGTACATGTAAAGAGACATTTTCAACGGATGAGATATATCACTTTGTTTATCGTTCAAATACATTTAAGTAACTGATCTAAACAAATTTACAGTGTACTTTTCATCATTCAGTACAGTTGTAAAAGTAGTCCGCGTAGCGCAGCGGATAGCGCGCTGGACTTCTAATCCAGAGGTCGTGGGTTCGAATCCCCCCGTGGATGTTTGCTTTTTTTATGCCTTTATAATCAAAAATTTATGGCAAATTTGTGTTTTATTCTTCCTACTGTCTGTTTCCGTTTCTGTTTGTTATAAGCCTACATTAATCTACAAAGTATATGCTCGAAGTTATATATGAGATGTAAAATGTGTACAGGGTCAGCTGATTTGAATTGGTTTGAAAAATAAAAAGATGTATCTCGTCTGAGAAATTACATCATATTATTTGATATGATGTATATTTACCAGATAGGTTGATCAACCTAAAATAATGTAAGTACCATTATAAAACACTCCACACCCTTCGCCTTATTTTACACTTCTAAATGAAGAAATTCTAAATTTTAAAAGTATTTGATAACTATTGTTATGATAATTATAATTTTATTCAATCCATTTATAATTTACCAAGCTATAGTTTCTGACTGGAAGTCGGGCAGTTAGGTAAGTAATGTTGTGCACTTGTCACTTAAAATATTACATCTGTAAATGTTAACCAGGGAAAAATATCTTTTTCACCACTTTAAAACAATTTTTAAGTACTTTTGCATTTTAATTCTTACAACCCTTGCCTCTTTTTAAAAACATGTTTTACACAAGGATGAAGAGGAACTAATCTGTTGTCATCGATGTTTTCGAACAAAAGTTACGCTGCATGGTAATAAAGAATCAGGTTTGCCAGGAAAGGGGCACAGTTATTACCCATGAGAATTCCTTCTATAATTCTAGAATAGATGGTCTACAAAGACATCATAAATGAAGTCACATGAAATTTAAACATAACATCGATGTCTTTTTGATTGCAATACCAAGTACATAATTATGTATAATCGAAATGGGTTTCAACAAAGTAAATTTAAAGATTCCCTAAGAAAAAATGTGGAAATCCGTGTTTAATGTTCATTAAAGAAAAAAAAAATGTCCAGAATCTCGAGAGCTTTACCTTTTATGAATGTAAGAAAATTTAAGGGTTTATCACATTCGTTTATATTTATATGTTCGAACGCAAATTTAAAGTTCAACTATGTGACAAACAGGTTTTATGTCATCTTCATCTTTTTTAAAGTACATTTCCAGCATATGGGGATTATATCTCCCGTATGATTCGATATAAATTCATATTAAGAGTACCTATCATTTTAAAAACACAGGAATGCTATGGTTCAAAAAGATGATGTTTTGTGATTTGTTAAAGTCTTCAAAGACAGGAATTTGTATATTCTTTGTTTTATTGTAACCAACATGTCTAAAAATTAATAAAATTATCAATAACAATAGGTAAGTTTTTCAATGAAGTACATGCACGTTCGTTGGTAATGTTATCCAATTATGCATTGAGAAATCTGTATGCATGATTTCAAGCACTGAACCTCATTGGAAGTATTTTCAAGGAATTTTTCAACAAGGTGTCTGTTCAAATATCAAAAAATGTTTGTGCAATTGTTTTGTCCACTTACATTTCATCATGTCAGGAAGGTACTACAATTTTAAACAATATATGTGTCTTGGAACAGAAATGGGAAAGCTACACTGCAAGAAAGGACAATGACGTTGTATTCATGAATGTAACATTTAACAACATTCAACGAGAGCTGTCCTGTAAAATCGGGGATAAATTGTCCAGAGTGAAAAATAATCTCACTGCGTTCTAAAAATTGGACAACTCTTTCAAGGATTCTTCATTAATATACATAGAAAATTTCAAAAATATATGCAAAAAAACTATTAATGAGATTTTATCTTATGTGTTGTTTCGCCTTGATGATAACGTCAAAAGCAGCGTCACATTTTCTTCTTGCTCAAAAAAGTCCCACCTAAATTTAAGATTTTCCTTTATATACACACACTTGAGTTTCCCTTTTTTCCTCCATATTTGATCGAGGAATCAATTTTGCATACTCTTAGGACCTTCTAAAAATTTATAAGTAAGTCATGGACATGTTCTCAATTGTTCTCAACTAAATAGGCAATAGTATATTGACGGTATACAGTGAAAGCGTTTTTCGCTATTACCCTAACAGTTTGTCTATATGTTTTGTTCTATCCGGGGACTCGATAAAAATTCACTAAGAAAACTCCCTTTTCACTTTGTTCTACTATAGACCTAATGATATTTTTATATATTCTTTTCTTCCGTATTCATTTGAAGTCCCTTAGAGCATCATTGCTATATCTAAATCAAACTGAACTGCTCTGGTGCGCCTTTACGTCATCAAACGTTGCTAATTCATTTTTCGTGTTTTGTGTTTACCACTTTCTTATGTTGAATGCGCGGGAGGCTGCTTAAAATTAAGAAAACGCCTTGAAATTTTCCAAAGGACAACACAGTGGATAGTGGATTTCCATAGCATAATTTTTACCACAATCTTATAGTGTATCTTAATACCTGTATTTCAATAATAGTACTCGTGCATTCTCTAATGGAACCATTGTTTTAGATCATGCACCATTTGCACATTCATGCACAATACAATACTTTTCATTGCCTATATTTTATTAAAACAAATTAAGATCGATGTACTTGAATAAGACAAAAAAAAATTTTCCTGAAATTTTCAGATTAACACGCCCATTAATTTTCGAGAAAAGCGATTTGTTCACAATTTTACCGGACGACACTCGTATATACAAGTTAAACACGAAAAAATGAAATTGTTAAGTTTCTATTTTTATCATTTCAACTCTAGAAGGTTTCTTAAGCTTGTAAAGTATGTTGCATCTGTTGCAGAAATAATATGAACGTCGGCTTTGCATTTTTTTCGCAACAGCTGTTTCCGTCAATACTCGTACTAAAAAGTCATTTTATTGTTTATATTAATTGTAGGCCAGACTACAAAATATGACATATCCATCTGAACATGCAATATATTCTTAGAATATGCAAAGATATTCCGATTCTTAAAAACCCTTTGCTGGAGGGATCTAAAAGTACTTACAATGTATTTCTAATTGAAAACCGATCAACATATCAGGATAAAATCATAAGTGATGATAAAAAGTAAACACCGGTTTTAATAATTCTTTTGAACTCACTGATTTTAAATCTTAAAGATGTATCAAAAGTCAAGTATATTGATATATTTTTTGGTAATTAAGCTTAGTTTTTTAATGTCTAGATTATCTTAATATTATGTAAAAAAATTAACTTGTAACAACACGAGTTTTACAGACACAAATATAAATCTAAACGATTTATTACCGTTGTTAGACAATTATTGCAGCCCTGATCTTAATTGAAAACATTTTAAATTAAACATTTTGTTCATCATTTCTAACACAAACACTAAATTTAGACATTTTAAACATGTCGGTCACATTTTACTATTGGTATTTATGCGTTTGAATACAAGAAATCTAGACAATTTTGTTAAATAAGACTGTCAACTATTTACAGAAGTATCCAACCACTAATAACCAATAAAATAAATTATATTTAAGGAACATCATAATCCGAATTATAAATGTATCCCAATTAATTCAAAATTCATATGTACGTTACTCTGTCACTTAAACCACTATATTTATTAATTAACTGTTTAGGTCTTTTAATTAAAAGTACTAATATATGTTATTTATGATGCTGATAGGTGGTGGGTGAAAGAAAAATTTAGCGATTGCATACAAATATTAATGATATACATTGCACATAACTAGTATCCTGAAATTTTAACAAAACACACGCAGAGAACCTCACATAAAGAATAATAAATGGATATTGTTAAAACAGTAAGAATTTCACAGCACAGCTAGAAATACGGAGAGATCAAATTAAACAGTACACTGATATTAAGTCATCATTATTTTTTTGCTTGTTGTTTAACAATCCTCTTGAGTATTTTGAATTCACAGTAACAAGATCCCACCCCGGTGTAAGTGATTTTTTCTACGTATGCTCTACATTCAGGGTCATTTGACCATTAAGAGATTTTTTTTGCCAACATCTACTGCAATAGAGGACCTTGGACTATACATCTCAAAGGACCGGCCTCCTTACTCCTACATTTTTCTGAATTTTATATCTAGTACCTGGCTTTCACTGAAGCATTTTTATCCAAAGTACGTTCAATATATGTTTTGTGCATGTTCTTATATTAGAATGTAACACCTAGAAGTTCATAAAAACGTTTTTATGAACATTTCCGTTCTACTACCAGAAGCAAATATTTGCACTTTTGTGTCAACACCTGACCTCGGGTAACACGATATCATGGATCGACCTCCGTATTCCTTCATTTTTCGGAATTTCTTATCTTAACTGGCTTTTTTTCGTTGAGGCATTATTGTCAAAGTGCGTTTAATGTATATTTTGTTCATTTTTTATCTTTTATAATTTCACAACCGGGAGTTCCTGAAATGATTTCTCTGAATATTTCCTTCTTCTAACACAAGCAAATCTCTGCTTTGAAAAAATGAAATATATATACATAAGATGCTGCTAGAAACATTTATTTTGATAAACAATAACAGATATTGTGAGATTGGTTGAGAATCAGTCGTTATGAATTAATCTGAAAAGAATAAAAAAAAAACCCATTATTTATATAATTTCTATTTTCTTTATACCTCATCTAATATATCAGGTTCATGAAATATATATGCATAAAGTCATGATCCGTTTATTATTAAAAAAGTCAAGCAATACAAAAGAATACCTTCGTTGCCGGGGAGAACCATTTTAGTAAACTTTTTTGACGACTCCTGGGTAGGTGGTGAGGGTGTTTCCGGGATATACGACATTAGGGTTGGTTAGTCCTGGATATGTACCTGGAAATGAACCGGGCAATACACCGGGATAGTATCCGGCCTGGAAGTTGTATCCATAGAGAGAATTAAGGTTGTTGTATGGGGAATATCCGTAGTAGTTGTTTCCCAGATAGTTGTTGCCATAACCGTATCCAGAGTAATATCCTAGATTGTTGTATGGATATCTACCAAATCCTGGATAATAGCCACCATATCCAAGTAAGCCTCTACCATATCCAAGATAGTTTCCACCATATCGAAGAAGGTTTCCACCATATCCTAAGTTTCCAAGCAGACTGTTATAAGGTCCGACGGTATAAGGAGATGCCAATCTGTAAGCAGAATATTTTTCTATCACTAGAGTTAAAATTCAATTTTAGTCTAATCAAATTATAACATAAATAAATAATATACTTGACTTTGCTTCAGGTAATCAGACTGACATTGTAAAATTAGAAAGTTAACTATATACATGTAGTAACACGAATGTCAAGCTAATAAGTACAGATGGATTGTTTATAAAACATAATGATAAACTGTCTATTATTTGAACGTTTCAAAAATTATTTTCTGAAAAAGTCATTCCTATATGTTTTTGTAAAGGGAATAAAATTTAATCAAGAATATTATTCATAAATTGTTATTTAATTGTAGACTGTAATTTTTTCATGAACAACTGTAAATATATAGAATATGATTAGGATAATTTGTATGGTATAAAAGAAGTAATATAGTACAATGTGCCATTTTTCATCCGAGGCTGCTTTTGAATCAATTATAATAAATGATACCCAGAAATAAAAAAAATCTCTCGGGATTTCCTTTATTGCTTTCATTGGGTTGAGATATCCAAAATTTACATATCTAATACCGTGTAAGTGGAAGTTTTAGCGATACGGAAATTTAGCGACTTGTCCTTCAAAATGGGTATTTAATTTTCAGCGAGAAGTAATTTTAGCAATATTAAAAAGCTCTATAAAGAGGCCATTACAAATAAAACGCAACTGATTTTTAGCGATATTCAATTCTAATGATCTCAGCACCCTCGCTAATAATGCCAAAATTAAATCCTCGCTATGCATGTAAAAATTTCACCGATAAAAGAAATCCCCAAAAATCCCGGAAACTGAGATTAGAGATATAAGCTTAAAATACAAAGACAAAGTCGGAACTTTCCAGACATAACTTAGCATTAGAAATATCTTTTTTCTTGATGACAAATTTCTAATGTATTTGAATTCTATATAATCAATTTAAGAAACACAAGTCCATAAATTAGCAGCCGTCCGACGGAATGAGGAAATCATAAGTACTTAGCTCTTTCTAAATTTTCGGCCCATCACCATCAATTGATGAATCATCAACATGAGGGAAATATCGTAGAAAAGACTATTAATACACAAAGATAAAACAAACTAAAAAAAGTATTTGAATTGTACTCACGGATTGTAGACTTTCTTGTCGTATCCGGCAATTGCCAGAGCAACGCACAACGACAAAACAAGGGCCTTCATCATGGCGGCAACTACGTGGATACCTCGGTAACTACGTGGATACCTGGAACGTAAACTTGTTTGTCAATAGACTGTGTCGGTAATATATAATGTATTTTAAATGCAAATATGCACAAATTATTTTCTCTTAATGTAGTTAATTATTCTTTCCTCTAAATGTAGTTAATTATCATTTCCTATCAATATACTTAATAATTAGATTTTACGTTATCCTTTATTATCTTTAAAATCAATGATAATTTTGCTATAAATTGTTTCATTATTCAATTTTACTTCATCTAACGTAAAGGGAATAATATTTTGTAAGGCTAAAAGAATGCTAACCAATCTTTTGATAACAATCCAAGATATAATACTGAGCTTTGCTGAAAAATATATGTAAGCTTATAGATTAAAGAGAAACACTGTTAAATCTAAAAATCAAAAATATATATATTGATACTTACTCTTTAAGACCAGATTTGCGGACAAATTTTCAGATGTGACTTTCAGCTTTTTATAGTATTAAACCACCACAAGTAACCAATCGAATTACATATATTTGGGGATTGTCATCTCTAAATCATTAGGTGTCAGTCTCTAGACATTTTGACCAATGAATTAATTAAAATTGTTTATTAACTCTTTTGAGTAAAAGTACTAATATGTGATTTATGCCGCTCTTTCGTTACCTGTTTCCGAGCTAGTTTGACATTGAATTCAAAATATGAAGGTTTTACTATGATTAATATCAGATCAAAACTTTAGCGATCGTACAATCCATATCGTCCCTATCCTGCACATAAATAATATCGATGTATTTTATTGTGCAAAATCTGATATGTACCTATTCCTTTATCGACAATAAAAGGAAAGCTATTCGCATTGGTAACCTTAAGAATCAATTAATAAAGACTTTAACCCTGTTTGTAAAAATAGTATGCATGAAAAAAAAGTCAATTGCAGTTGTTTATTTACAGTATATAATAAGGAAATATACGTTATTCTTTTTGTATTATTTCAGGAAAAGGTAGAAATGATTCCAAAAATAAATATTTGCATAATATTTCAGGGCAATCTATTTTTGAATTTTTTTATTACGCAGATTATAACGAAAATTATATTTAAAATAATTATCAACAATTAGTAAACATGTATCGTCTGAAATCACACTCTCATTTTAAAGACTTCACTACAATTGTCAAATCTGGTAGCGTGGCTGAATTTATAAAAATTTAAATGTATAAAAGAAAGTTTTCTTTACTGTATTAAGATTGTAACCGCTCTAAGGATGAAATTTCCTTCTGCTCCAAATTTACCATTTTTAAAAAAAAATAAATTCCAAACATTGATTTTCATCAACAACAATAGCATTGTATTTAAATGAAAAATAGTTTAAAGTATGAAACGTTGCTTACTTTTTTTTTTTTTTTAGAAATTATTATTATGTCTAATCATGATGTGAAGAAAATTTGATATAGTAAGTAGTAATATCAATTATTTTTTTTATCTCGCAATAAAATCAAAAGTATTAGTTATATATGAAAACGATGTTTAATGTCAAACCTTTCTAACTCTGTTTAGAAAACATAATGAAGCGTTGGTTTTCTAAATCAGAAAATCAAATAGTTTTCTGCTATTGTAAAATACCACCGGTAATATGCACCCATCAACAAGAGTGATCTTTCCATAATCGCCCTTGAAAATATTTTTTAGTGAAACGAAATATTTAACAATTCTGCATCTAAAATTTCTGAAATAATCAAAAGTTTTATACTTTAAGAGATACATGTATTTCAATATTCACAGTTCACAGAAACTCAGTATAAATGTTTTGGGTAAACTATTATAGAAAATTAATGAAAATATTGGCAGTAGAAACTAGAAACCAATATCTGTACAATAGTTTGGATTTGTATGGGTCGACAATAAAAATAATCCTCATTATAGAACTCTATACCTTTTGACAAGATAATTAATTGCATTTCATTTGAAAATGTCTTCAAAAAGTTATCTCTCTTATCAGAGGGATATTAAACCTTAAGCAAATGTAATTGAAACTAGAAAGTCTGCTATTGCATAGCGTATGTCGCCCCGAACTGGACAAGACTTTCATTCTTTCATCACTAAAACGATATCCATTAGCTAAGCTTGGACAACCATCAACTCGTGTCCGTCTTTTCGATACTTTGATTTAAAAATCAAAGTTAAAGGATTTTCACTTTTCCCGTGTTTCTGTGGCAACTAATTTTTAATGCAACACGCACAATTACAGATACTAATCATTAAATCAATAAAGTTTCATGAAGAATGTCCAAGAGGAGCAGAGAGAACACTCTCGGACAAAATTCGTCGCTTTTTGCAGGTTTCTATGGCAACGGAAGACATTTTGAAACTGAACACCCTCACTACAAAACAACAATTAGTGATCGTCTTTTGAGGAAAGTTTCAGGAAGATTGTCCCAGCCATCTCCGAGAAACAGCCTGGAGAACAAAAACATGCGTTCAATCGCAATATGTCGCCCCCGACTTCGTTCGGGTCGACATAATTACTCTTCAGTAGGACCTAGCTGATACCATCTCTGATATTAAAAAAGGTTCGTGTTTGCACTGTCATTTTCCTGATCGGTTTTAATGGACTTTTTGACTTGAATACTATTCGTTATCCATATATTTTATCTTAAAAATAAAATAAACATAATGCATCAATGTAAACAGGACATAACCCCCTAAAATGAAAGATGTATGATAAGTTTAAGTATTAATAAGAAATCTTATGTCTTTCCTTAGTACAGTCTTCCTGATTTGCAGATTGGAATTTTAAATCTATACTCTAAAGTATATGCTAAAATACGGTGGTATATTTAGGACAAGCAATTATTTTTTTTAAAATACCAGAAAAAAATTATCTTGCCAAAACGACATAATTATCTTGTGAAAACGACTTATTATTTTGTGAAAACGAGATATTATCTTGTGAAAACGACATAATACCTTGTTAAAATGAGAAATTATCTTGTTAAAACTATATATTATCTTGTGAAAACGAGATAATATCTTGTGAAAACGAGATATTATCTTGTGAAAACGACATAATATCTTGTGAAAACGAGAAATTATCTTGTGTAAACGAGATATTATCTTGTGAAAACGAGATATTATCTTGTGAAAACGACATAATATCTTGTGAAAACGAGATATTATCTTGTGAAAACGAGAATTTATCTTGTGAAAACGACATAATATCTTGTGAAAACGAGATATTATCTTGTGAAAACGAGAATTTATCTTGTGAAAACGAGAATTTTGTAAAATCTTGTAAAAACGAGATAATATCTTGTGAAAACGACATAATGCCTTGTGAAAACGAGATAATATCTTGTGAAAACGAGCTAATATCTTATGAAAAGGAGAAATTATCTTGTGAAAACGAGATAATTCTTGTGAAGATAATATCTCGTTTTCACAAGATAATATGTCTTTTTCACAAGATAATATGTCGTTTTCACAGGATAATATATCGTTTTCACAAGATAATATCTCATTTTCACAAGATAATAAGTCGTTTTCACACGATAATATCTCGTTTTCACAAGATCGTTTTTACAAGATAATATCTCGTTTTCACAAGATAATATCTCGTTTTCACAAGATATTGTGTCTTTTTTGCAAGATAATATCTCATTTTCACAAGATAATATCTCGTTTTCACAAGATAATAAGTCGTTTTCACAAGATGATATCTCGTTTTCACAAGATAATATGCCCGTGGGGATCCGGGTTAGAATAGGTCCTCAGTACCCCCTTGCTTGTCGTAAAAGGCGACTAAATGGGGCGGTCCTTCGGATGAGACCGTATAAACCGAAGCCCCGTGTCACAGCAGGTGTGGCACGATAAAGATCCCTCCCTGCTCAAAGGCCGTAAGTGCCGATCATAGGCCTAAATTTGCAGCCCTTCACCGGCAATGGTGACGTCTCCATATCAGTGAAATATTCTGGAGAGGGACGTTAAACAGTATACAATCAATCAATCACAAGATAATAGGTCGTTATCACAAGATAATATCTCGTTTTCACAAGATAATATCTCGTTTACACAAGATAATAAGTCGTTTTCACAAGATATTATGTCGTTTTCACAAGATAATACATTGTATCTCGTTTTCACAAGATGATATCTCGTTCACAAGATAATAAGTCGTTTTCACAAGATATTTTTTCGTTTTCACATGATAATATCTCGTTTTCACAAGATAATTTTTTTTCTGGTATTTAAAAAAAATAATTGCGTGTCCTAAATATACCACCGTACTAAAAGGTGTGCATGGTGTTTTCTTTTCTCAAAAATCTTAACGCATTTAGATATTTCAAAAAGGTAGTCGCACAAAATAATTAGCCTAAGGGAATTTTGCATACAAGCTAAAACATAATATGAAATCGAATTAGATAAAAAAAATCGATTACAATCTACATGCACCTACTTTATTATAGAACATTTATAAACATTACAAAAAATGGTTTGGATTAATTATTTAAAACGGTTATTTAAAAAATATGACGTGATTTGATTATTGTGTATTTTTATCAATATTTAGCAGCTGTTACAATGTAATAATGTCGGAAGAAACATTTTTTGAATTTCACCATTGTGATGTACTTTTAGTTATGTAAATTTTTTAATGTACATCAAACGAATTTGATTAACGCTCAGGCCTATATCATGTGACATGTATGTAATCTTTACAATTATTCATGAGAGAGAGAGAGAGAGAGGAAAACAGCATATATTCTGTCCTTTTATTGTTTGGAGGGAATGTAGGTGTAATTATTGCCTACTGTATACATGGAAGTTTCAGTGGTACAATGTAGCGAGATTGTAGTAACACATAGAGAAAGATGATTAGCTCAACATAATTACGGACCAGGGTCATCAATATACGTCTGATTGGAACCTTTCCAGTTCTCCCCTGAATACGGATAAGCTGATCTTCGGTGAAAAAAATCACAAAAATCTGCGCTACAACCTGCCTTTTCTTAAACCTAAACAATGAAATATATGTAGATAACTAACAATATTCACGCTGAAAAGTCTATTCAACAAAACAAATTTTGGCGCTGAACAAACACTGTCTTCTAACACATCAGAGGTAGGATCAGGTGCCATAAAGGAGTGAGCTTGCCCTGCATTAACATTTAGACAAACGGGGACTTTCGTGATTCCTACCAGAATTAAATAAACAGCAAAGCGTATCATTGTTTATAGTACACAGTTACCAAGATGGCATTTTTACAACATGACACGTAAAGCTTCGTCCTGCCGTCGATCATGAAAATTCAGTACTTAAGAGGGATAAGTAAACTTTTCTATTCAATTTTCGATTAACATGTTGGTTGATACATTTTACAATGTAAGATATATATATATATCTAATTAAGGTGAGAATAAGAGAATGTTGTCATTTGAATATACATGTATGTCATATAAATCTACATGTAGAAGAATTAAAAAAAAATCATGCAAAATAGTTTATTGAAATGTTAATTCTACAAAAAAAATATTAAAAGTACTACATGTATAAAAAAAATCGAGAGGTTTCATTTTTGATTTAATAGACAAAAAACAAATTTTATTTACTGAGAGGTTTCATTTTTCTTAAAATTCTCCTTATATGCCTTATATTTGAATAGACATAAGCATAACATAAAATTTTACAGTATCTGCAAATGCCATTTTTTATTTCCTAACACAAGTAACAAATTAACGTTAACAGTACGTAAATCTTTAAGCATAAACGGACGATGAAAAAGATTATTATTGCCACTTGAGAACAAGCGAAAAGTTTAACTTAATAACATTTACTTCGTATTCATCAAATTTAAGTAAACAAATAAGTGGAAGACCATCTATAAAATAACGTAGTTTGCTCTCCATCTCTTTACCAAGGATAAAAATACTGAGTTCGCAGGAAGCTGGGAAAATCTATTTTTCCGGAAAATTTCAACGCATTTGTTAACGGGAATATTGGAATAAAATCTATTTTTTCCGGAAATTTCAGCGCATTTGTTAACGGGAATATAGGAATAAAATCATGTCAAAGAATGATAAAAACACTTTTGAGTTATTTTTGCACCATGGCATGTAAAGTTTCTTATGGACCAAAGCAGCAGCTTAGTCTATTGCATTAAATGTTGCCTACCTAGCTAGAACGTCGTATCGTTAAAAAAAACGAAAACAAAATGGTTACAGACCGATCGTAAGTATAGTGACCTTATGTAACAAGACAAGACCTGTACATATGTAGTAGAGTACTCTGGAAGTTTTTTTCCGTCATGTTGCATGTTGACATAAATAAGTTGCATGTTGACATAATTATCTTGCATGTTGACAAAAATAAGTCGCATGTCTACATAATTATGTTGCATCTTGCATCTAAAATGTCAGATACAGGCGTTAGTAAGTAAATTTGCACATATTCAATTTATATTTTCTTATAAGATTGGTAACTTGCATGTCAACATAATTAACTAGCATGTTCACATTAATATGTTGCATGTCTACATAATTATGTTGCATGTTAACATAATTTGTCTTGCATGTAGGGTGCAGAAATATGCCACCATAAAAATTTGATTATATTTGTGTATCTTGTTATAAGGAGCTCTTCTTCTAAAGGAAAGCAATATAGTCTAAAAATGACCAGAGTCACTCAATCAATTTAAATGTGTTTATTGTCTAGGTTTTCTGTTTTTTTTTTAAATTAAATACATTCATTATACATAATTGTGTTTACTATAATATGAACTAGAGAAATCATAGAAGGAATAAAGGAAAATTATATGGAGATACGAAAAATATTAAAGCTCAAAAGTCCATTAAAAATTCAAATCAGTAGCCGTTCAAAAAGACCTCTGAAACATCTGTGATGGGATCAGATGTCATGGAGGAATGAGCATCCCCTGACGATCGGTCAGATCCGCCGTGTGCTCATTGACATGATCGGGAAATGAATGAAAATTCCGACGACAATATAGTAGTGTAGAACGGTCTAAAATTTAGAAAAAAAAAACGTCAGTCAGCATTTGACTTTATGATTTATTATATTTGCCAAAAAGGTCTTTGCACTGACCATTGAACTTAAATAAATGAGGACTTTTAAGAGACTGCTGTTAATTTTGTTTCACAACTTCTTTGCCAGAAACTAACCTTGTATTAAAGATTGTTCATAGATAGAGCATGCTCTTGCGTATCGATTCAACTAAGAAACAAATCTCCGTATACAAGTGACAAAGGCATATTGCTGTATACGCAATGCAGTTGGACTATGAAAAGTTAAAGTCATCACGTTTATCATTAAGCTTGGTTGATAGACTACCATTATTTTCTTTTTATAGAAAATTATCCAATTTAATATAAAACAGAAATGTTAGAATCTGTGGTATCTTGTACTTTATGCTCACCTAGATATATCGAAAACTTTTTTTGAAAAAGCAGTTGTCAATGATGCCAGTTTAAATGTATTTTAATTTATAGTGATGAATGAATGCATGCTTACTTTAGAGGTTTTTTTTTGGCGTTGATTTTGATAAAATTTTGTGATTTAAGATGTTCTTAATGTTCCTTTAAATTTTTAAGCATCAACATCTGATTAACACCACTTCTTGAATGTATTGTTGCATATTACTGTTTAAATTTTACACTCACTACTGTTTGAATTGGGGGTTATGAATCATTAAAAAAAGGTTTGCAAAAACACTTACTTGAGTCTCTTTTGTATTACTATTTATAAGGATATTTATGACATCTAATATAGATATTTTTTACGAAATCTGAGATATTTTGATTGTTGGGAATATCAAATACTGTATGCAGAGTTATTGTCACCCTTTTACCCTTGCTAACAATTCTGCCCCGTTTTAAATTCGCCCAGTCCGAATTTTGTTAACACAATTATTTTTTTTAATTCGCCCCGTTTAAAATTCGCTCACTTTTGACAGGGGCGAAAGGGGCTTAATAAAACAGGGATGAAAATTTCCCTGTATACAGTATATTCAAGACTGACAAAACATTTTGAAGAATTCCCTCCTTTGAAAGGGAGCTATGGATATAAGTTGGAATACCACTTGTAGAATTAAATCAAAATTAAAGAGAGAGAAAGAAATGACTGGATATATTGTTAATTTTCTGATAAAGTAACCAAAACTTTATTCGTCAAAATATTTTTTTTCATAACCGAAAGCTTTTGATGTTGATCAAAATGATTGTAGGAAAATAAATAAAAAAGTTGCTGAAATTTAGATCAGAGGGGCATCTGATCTTAATTAAAAGTATAGAAATTATACCAATTTGTTTGAACGTGAAAAATCTAACCAGATTCCAAATATTGTTATGGGAATTAAAAAGAAAAATACACTACAAAATGCCATATTTGACAGAGAAGTTGAGTAATCTTTGACCCAAAATTTTAAAGCTTGGACAGTAACTGTATTTTGTAAGCAACAAACGGAGTATTTTGCTTAACATAGAGAATTTTAGCAAGAAATCAGAGATGTACAGTGAGAACTGTCTAATCCGACAACTGTATAATCTGACACACTGTGAGTTCCGACGTTTTATTTTCTTTTTTATTATTTTCCTTGTTTTTAACACTGTGTAATCCGACACCCTGTCTATTCCGACACAAAATTTATCACCCAGTGTATGTCGGATTAGACAGGTTTCACTGTATTATGTCTTCCCTTGTTATTCGAGTATAACCGCGACAGTACAAACAAACGATGCTTTGAATTAATCATGAAAAAATGTAAAACAGATGCTGCAATATTTATTTAATTATTTAACAATAAATCAAAATGATGTTATTTATTAAGCGGTCCTGTCCTCGGTCTGTCTGAAAAAAGAAAAAAAATATTGATAAATAAGAAAAAAAAATATGATGGAATTTATTTATGGACAAGAAAGTGTAATTAATTAATAATTAATTAGTGAATATTTACCTGATTGTTCCTACTGGGAGGTCTTAGTATACGCTCTTTCGTTTATAACTTCCTACTCCGCCGTAATATCCGCCGCCTACTCCTCCTCCGGGGTAATATCCGCCGCCTACTCCTCCTCCAGGGTAATATCCGCCGCCTACTCCTCCTCCAGGGTAATATCCGCCGACTACTCCTCCTCCGGGGTAATATCCGCCGCCTACTCCTCCTCCAGGGTAATATCCGCCGCCTACTCCTCCAGGGTAATATCCGCCGCCTACTCCTGGGTAATATCCGCCGCCTACTCCGCGGTAATATCCACCGCCTACTCCTCCTCCGGGGTAATATCCGCCGCCTACTCCTGGGTAATATCCGCCGCCTACTCCGCGGTAATATCCACCGCCTACTCCTCCTCCGGGGTAATATCCGCCGCCTACTCCGCGGTAATATCCACCGCCTACTCCTCCTCCAGGGTAATATCCGCCGCCTACTCCTGAGTAATAATTGCGGCCTACTCCCGAGTAATATCCTCTGTTATAATAGCTGGAACAGTTTTACAGTTTGATAAAAAATACATAATTTAAAATAAATAACAGGTGTTACTGCTTTCTTTTAAAACACAAAGAAACAAACAAATACGAGAGAGAAAGCGGAATACAAAGACAAAGAAAAAATACGTATAATTTTTAGGTGTATAAAAAGGATTCTGAGAAGATAAAGAGTAATTTTTGCGAAAAATGATTAAATTTTTGCGAAAAATGATTAAAGCAAATGAGCTGTATTTTTGAGATTTCTATGTTGCCCTTAAAATGCGCTTTTATAATGAATTTTTATGTACATGTAATATAAACCTTTATATTCAATTAGATTTAATTAAAGTATTTAATTGTTTCAGGAGACAGACTTCTGAACAATCAAATATAGAGCATTATTTATGAAATCAATATTGTACAGGACGACAATAATCTAATTTTGCTTCAATCATAGCTTATAAAAAGTTCCTTCATCGCAAATATGAACAATAGAAGATTATAAACGTTCTTTTCTCTGTTTTTGAAATAGTGAATTAAAAATTAGCAATAAAGAATTCCAACATCAAAGTTGCATCTCATATTGCCTTAAACATTAGCAGAATAAATTTCATATTCATATTTGATGAGGAATTTTTTTTATTTTTAATTAAAATACTAATTAATTATTTAATTGTATTTAATTGAAGATACCTGTACTTTTTGTCGTAACCAGCAAACGCCAAAGCGATGCAGATCGTCAAAATTACAGCCCTCAACATGGTTTTGTCTGACGGTTTACCTGATGTGAATATACAAAATAATTGATCAATATCCTTGCATAAGGACCATCTCTACACCAGTATAAAATATTTTTTGGACATCGAGAAATTAATAGAAAAAAAAGTTAAAAAAAAAAAAGTATATCTTTTTAATTTTCAATATATGGTACGTGGCATTTACTCAGCACTTTGTCAGTGAACAGAGATCACTGTAATTTAGAAATTACTAACATGAAGAAATTATATGTAAATAACATGATAAATCAATTTATCTCGACCTTTTTAAATGTTAAGAATACTTACATTAGTTATATATGAAGTAATATATTGTAAATTTCCATTTCTTAGAATTCGGATTTAAGGGCAGATCACTCTTACTGCCTAAAAATACTATAGAATCAGAACTTGTCAGTGTGTAGCGTAGAGAGGTTTCTTTAGGACGCTGTAAACACTGCACACTAAAGAACTCTATTTATGGGGTAGTTTTATGCAGTTAGAGTGATCTGCCCGTTGATGTAAGATTTAAAAAAAAATGTTATTCACAGTTAATTACATGGTTTGTAATAGGTTAAAATATTTCTAGCATTATGTAAGACCAAGAGTAAGAAATTTAATTAATTATATTTTATTATTTTTCCCCAATGTTAGTAAACAACAGTGATATTTGCTCACAAATAGTCCATTGTCTTTGAACCTCCTTAAGAGCTTTAGAGCTCCTTACGCTTACGCCATACATGTATGTTACATATCCGCAGTTCTGTAGCTCTCTTGTCTTGAGATGATGCTACTTAAATATAATATCATAACCAAGAGAACTCAACATGTTATTTTTTTTTAAGTATAAATGTCCTCTACAAAATCACATTTATGAAATATGGAGATTACGAACAGTATTGAAGTTCAAAGTCCATTCAGGGATGAGTATAAATACATAGCGTGAAGAACAAGCGCGATATAACAAAGATAATAAAACCATTCCTATTAAATAATATAAGAATAAAAATGATTAAAATATGATAAAACATAAAATGTATTTGTTGAAAATGAATACCCCCACAAGTGAATGCCTTTCACCATGGAAAAAGTGTTCAACATATTTTTACATAGATATTTTATTCTTAGAATATCACGGGTAGATTTTGTTTTCACTAATATATCTTAAAGAATATATAACATATAATGGAAAATGAAATCCAGTCCCCAGTTAAATAGATGCTCCTTGACCAGTTGAATTAACCCCAAGAATAAAGGATTTGCATACAAAAATGAACATTTGAGAAAATTAACAACTTTAAAACCTTTAATTATAATAGACACAAGTACTTTGAAAACACAATTAAACACACACACAGAGCTATATAATTAACTTACCTACTAAGACCAAATAAGCAGACAAATTTTCAATTGAGACTCGTGCCTTTTATAGTCATTAGCAACAATTTGTTATCCAATTAAATTGTGCAAAATTGAGGCACGCTGCTACTTAATCAACCTTATCAAATCTTTGTTGCATTTTTGAGGTTTTTTAAATTTTAATATTGTGTAACTTTTTAAAATTCAACATATTTGATATGTTCTTTATTTAGCTTTGTTTCTTTCATAACATGAAAAGAATTGTGTAATGATCAGAGAGATTAAGAAAAAACGTTTTCGTATGATCAATTTTGATATGGTAAACCATTTTTATATTACAATTTTTTTTTTATAAATTAAATTCCTTTATCTAGTATTATGTATCAGAACTATCACATTGTTTTGTGTTGTTTACCGTCCCTATCGAGAATTTTTCTCTCATATACAGACACCATAATTTACCGGCGGAGAGCTGCAAACTTTGACCTATGTTCGGCACAGAGGGCAATTGAGCACTGAAAGGTCTTTTTCATGCCATCAACTGTGACCTTGGACCTCGGTTTTTCATGGTTTCATTCAAATGACTGGATCCCCGATACCAATTTTCAATTTGTATAACAAAATTTCGACACTGTATTAAGAGATTTTTAGAAGAAAATAAACATATGATTTATGTGTTAATTCATACCATCTTACAATATAAAGAAATGAAAATAAACAACACTGAGGAAAGGCATTAAACACAGAGCTCTGGAAATTACAATCCTGGAGGCAATAAAATTTAGACGAGCTCACTTTTGATTCAAATCTCTTTTTTTTTCAAAGGAATAAATAAAGGAAAATTGACACTGAGATCAAAACTTAGCTCGTCTAAGTTTTAAAGCCCCGGGGCAGATGTGGTGTTTAGAAGGAGTAAGAATACCCGGTTGGCAGGTTACATTTGTGTTCATAATGTCCATCTTTATTTGACGTCATAAAGGGTGTGGTTTCAAAAGATTCAAGTAATAAAGGATATAATCATTACATGATTCTACTGCTAAAATCAAATCCTTACATGCAAAATGTAATTCTTAAAAACCTGGCGGGTTTCTTTTTGAGTTAGTGTATTTTTCTTTTCTCGAAGTATCATGCAATAACGCATAATGTCATTAAAACCAATGTAATTAACAATTAATTCAGCAAAGTGTTATTCTGGATAATAATTCGATATTGCATTGTAACAATGCATAATTTTTCACATAGGTGTTTTTAACAATTTAAAGATTGTTGACTTCCAAATTAGAATAGAAATGGAAAGACTTTAATGGTAAAACATGACGATAAAGGAAATAAATAAATGAATTCCATATTTAGAGAAAAAATGGCTTAACATTTAATACACTTTTAACTAAACCTGAGAACATCTGTATTCAGGCATAAAGTATAATTTCTATCAATTGCGCCAGGAATATTCCAATTAAAATCAGAAAAAAATCAAAATATTGTTAAAATGACAGAATTTTTATGATTTTTTAACGACGATATTTAATTAACAGAAAAAATGGATAATTTTACATCATAACAGCTTGGATACTTTAATCTTTAACAACTAAAAACATCTGGTGCCCTTTAAATGTTAATTGAAAATATTCATATTAGGTGTTTGTGCAAAGAATACAAAATCAAAGTTTGTGCGTCTTAACGATTTCAATGATTGTATAATAATTAAGGAATGTAATTGAATAATACATAAACAGCAGAAGAACTGGTCTTTTTCCTTCTTATTAGAATGCACTGCACGTGGACATCATCATTTTATGTTACCAAAAGCTAAAGAGGGGTTTCAGGTTTCAGACAGCACATTAGTAATCACGTGTATCCTCCCATTGATTGTGATTAATTTGGGGGGTTTTATTTACTTTTTAAAAACTTTCTTTGCCTCAAATTAAACCTTGATTTTTGTTTGAGGCAAACATGCATTCATTAGCCAATCAAATCGCAGGTGGCGTTGTTTGTTAGATACAAATTATTCCCTAGGACAAAAATTAGATTTTGTAATAGGTCTTATGCTTAAGGTTTACAAAAAGCGTTTGCATTGGAATAATAGTTAGTCACAGTCTGCCAGGTATTATATAAAATTTTGAAAAGCAATATATTTAACAACCCACAAGAAGAGGAGGTGAATATAGAGTTTATCTTATGATTAAGATATTTTTTTGTAATTTTCACATGTGTGACATACTTGTATCACAAGTGAAATAAATGTCATATTCATTTCAAAATATATAATGAATTTTATAGGTGTTTTGTTTCTTTAAATTTGCTACTGCCTTTTGGTAAACATTGGAACATAGGCTTTACGTTCATAACTGATTACGTGTAGTTGAGACATCAAGTTTTACAAGACAAATTTTGCATTTTGTTCTATTTTAGGGACCAGTAATATTTTTTGTCTTTCTAAAAATAGGTCAATTAATCGTTTTCAAACACCATTCTTTTTGAATTTAAGAAAAAATAGATATATCTCATTTTTTAGATATTTTATCTCAGATTTTTACACAACATTTCTTTTATTCAAAAAATTAAAAGGGAATACCATTAGTTTAAATTCTTAATATTGAATGAATTTCATGATTATCCAAAATATTCTGAATATGTCTTTAATTTGGATTGATTGTTTACCGATATATTCGTAAATATTGAACAGTATTCAAGCTTAAAAGTCAATTGAACAATACGAAGTAGGAGCAGAGCAAACACGGACCTAAAAAACATCAGAGATAGGATCATGTGGTCTGGAGGAATGAGCATCCCTGCCGACTGGTCACATCTGCAGTTTGAAGTCCTGTTCTAAAAAAAACTTTTCATTCATATTGAAATGTCACCATAAACAAGTAAAAGACTTAAAATTTAGACCCTTACTCAGTAGTTCAGGCCATTGAGCATTGTGGTACTTTATCGGTGCCACGCCGACCATGTCACAGGGCCTTTTAATCTCATTTCTAAAGGAAATACACGTGTTTTTAATTTGAAACCTTAGATTGTTTAAAAATAGAGGTGCGCGGTCTCCTTTGAGTCCTTTCTTGTCCAGGAAGTTTTAGACACTATTATTGAAATTAAGATCACATGCAATGGTTTTTACGTAAGAATTCTCATTAAAACGTGTGCTTCAATCCAAAAGGATTACTGCTATCAGAGAAATCATTTAACATACATTAACCCTACTGCAAAAATACATGATGTTTTGAAAAGATTCCGCATGGTCAAACTGTTCCGTAGAATAGAACCTTAATTGATTAGTAATTATACTAAATTATCCACATACATGTATATTGCAGTTATTCTTTAGGTAGAAAAGAGTTTATTACATAAATCTGTAAACCTACAACGACGGTCCTTCAGCGATTTTAATCTTATGGTGCCCATTTAAAAACTTTGTAATAAATTAAATCAACTTAAACCTCAGAAACGAGACTGGTGGCAGTACAATTTTTTTTTTGATTTCTTGTAAAACTGTGTTTCAATTTCAATTATTTTGTAAATAAAAAATAACTAGTATATAATAATCATTATGAATATATGACATTTCCATATCATTTTCTTGATCGGCCAATGACGAAAATCAGTACTTGGACATTCGGTCTCTTACTATATAAAACAAGGGTCTGGGCTGACACAACGTGTGAATGAAAAACAGAGTATTTAAATAG